ACCTGGAGAAGGGATTTCAGTTGTTTGGAGATGTTTGAAAGCTCTCTTGAGGAAAAGAGCTCAGAATATTGTATATAGCCATAATGGACAGAATTGGACCCATGGGATGGAAATTATGGTTGAAGATGGTGGTAGAGGAAGAGGGGAGAATGGAAGGGCAATATTTTTGCTCTCTTACTATTAAAGTCATCTGAAAATGGAATGTGCTCCTTAGGAAGACAGTGAGTTCTCCATCCTTGGTAGATGACCACTTAGCAAGAAGGTTTTAATGGGGGAAATTCAAGCACAATGGATATATTTGCACTAGATGAAATTTAGGGTATCTACCAACCCTAAGAGTTTAGGAATATATTGAATGTCTAGACATTCAGGGAAAAATCTGTCTCCTCCAAAAGCTTACCATCTGGTTATGAGTCAAAACACATAGGAAATCATTAAAAATTTCTTAATGGTACATAGTTAAATGCCAAAATCAATATTTTCAGCTGTAATAGCCAAAGAAATTCATGGAAAGGAGGCTTAAAATGATGTTGAGAGCAGAATGTGAGTCCTGATGTGATCCTATGTGTTGGGCAGACAGAATAAACAGAACATTCTTGGTAAGATAGCATACTACAAGATGCAGAATAAAATTGTTATAAGACTCAAAATCTTTTATTCAGAAGACTGGAGAGCCAGTGGTGATGAGATTGTGAAAGGCATTTTCCACAGCTTGTTGAGAATTGAATATTCTTCATTCCAAGAAGTGGCCCAAAGCCTGGAAGAAGTGGTAGTCAGTTGGTGCAAGGTCTGGTGAGTAGGACAGATGACAGAGAGTTTCCATGTCCAGCTTCTGTAGTTTCAGCAGCGTTATTTTTGCATCATGTGGTTGAGCATGGTCTTGCAAGAGAATCGGCGTGTCTCTATTGAGCAATCTTGGCTGCTTAATCACAGATATCCTCATCATTTTGTTCAGTTGGTTGCAGTAGACACCTTCTGTAATGGGTTGCCCAGGTTTCATGAAGGTATAGTGGACCAGCACTGGACCACCAGACACCATTAGCTTTTTTGATGAATATTCGGTTTTAGACTGTGTTTTGGCACTTCATCTTTATCCAATGATTGTGCTGAACACTTGTGATTGTCAAAAAGAATCCATTTTTCATCACATGTAACAATAGGGTGTAGAAATGATTCGCCTTTATGTTGGGACAGCAAAGAAAGGCAAGCTTCAAGATGATTTCTCTTCTGACGCTCATTTAATTCATGTGGAACCAATCTATCCAGCTTCTTTACCTTGCCCATTTGTTTCAAATGATCCAATATTGTTGGAATGGTATCAAACTTTGATGCTAATTCATGTATAGGTTGAGATGGATTCAATTCCACTACAGCTTTCAGCTCATCATTATCCACCTTGGTCTCAGGTTACCCATGTGGCTCATTTTCAAGATTAAAATCACCGGAATGGAACTTCTCAAACTATCAAAGTACTGTGCATTCATTAGCCACATCCTTCCCAAACACTTTGTTGATATTTCGAGCTGTCTGAGCTGCATTGGTTCCACAACGGAACTCATATTCGAAAATAACACAAATTTTTTATTTATCCATGGTTTCACAAAAATTGCTCAAAAAAAAATTTGAAAGATAATCACAAGCCAAAAGGTGCATTTGCAAGGCTGAGGATGTACCTTCACAATAAACATAAAACAAGAAGTGTCAAAGTGAAATGTCAGAGTTATCAACTGTCAAACTTAGTACTTAAGGAAATCGGACATTTCATACTTAATAGCCTAATAGTATAGTACGGAAACAAGATTTTGGGTTTTAGAGTCAAACAGGAGTTCTTTGCATCTGGTGAGGTAGACAGATTGCTTTGGTGGCCTCAGTTAATGGCTTCCCTGAACTCATGTCCAATGCAGTATGACTTCGCAGCTCTTCCCATCCGTTGGAACTTGGCCAGCCTTGTGACTTGCTTTGGCTAATAGAATATGGAGGAAGTGACAATGCACTAGTCGGAGGCCAGGTCTCAGAAAGCCTTTTGCTTCTTCTCCCTCTCTTAATCCACCCTCCCTGCCACCCCCACCCCACCTCCACCTCCACCCCCCACTCCCAGAACTTCGTTTCTATCAAAAGAATAAGCCTGGACTGACCTGCTGAAACCTCAGAGATCTTTGGCCCAGTTGTGACGAGGCCAGACCAAAGTACAGCCAGCCAACTCCCAAACATGTTGACAGAGCAGCCAACATCAGAAGAACCATCTACCTGATGTATGACCTGTAGTCTTCTGAGCTTACTGTTTTAAGGTACTAAGTTTTGGAGTGGGTTTGTTTTGGAGCAATTGCTAAATGATATACTTGGTTCAACTAGTTACTAGCTCTGTAAGCTTCAGAAAGTTGCTTAACTTTTCTGAGCGTCATTATATTCATCTGTGCTCAATGTCTATTATACATTATCTCTTTTAAATACTCACAATAATCTTGTGATGTGGGTGTCATTATCCCCATTTTACAAACAAACAAATTCTTACAAAGGTGAAGTGATTAGCCCAAGAGGTAACACAATGAGTTGGCAGCCATACAACTTTTTCATACAGGACCTCAAAGAAAGTAAACCAAGTTTATAAGGAAACTTAGTGAAGAATTTCAAAATGCAATGTGAAAAATGCAGAAGCTCATTTATATTAAGAGTATCTCCCTTAAGGGGAATAATTGAAATTTTCAGCGCAGAAAAGAAAACCCACAAGTCTGAATGTAGTGAGGGCAAGGGCTGTTTTGTTTGCTACTCTCTTCCCAGGGCCTTGCAGATCCTGCAACACCTTAGTAGACGTCGATAAATATTTAAAAATTTTTTTTATGTAGAGATGGGATCTTGCTATGTTGCCCAGTCTCCAACTCCTGTCCTCAAACAATCCTCCCACCTTGTCCTCTTGAAATGCTGGAATTACAGATGTGAGCCACCACACCCGGCCCAATAAATACTTCCTGAAAGACTTAATCCATGAATCAATCCTGACTGAATAATAGTACACGGAAATCATCATCTATTCTAATGCCTGAATTGAAAATTTATGTGTTAAAAACTCCAATTCTCCAATACGCAGAAATAAAAACACCTTCCTTTTCTGCCACATGATCTTTCTCAAACCAGTGTACAGAAAAACTTGTCCCCACATGGTTCAGTCAGAAGCACAGACTGCAGAGGGAGAGGGTTGTGGGAGTTGAGGTCTTACCAGGAAAAGCCACCTGTTAGCTTCGAAGTCACCTTCCTGTCTTGTAGGAGTTCCTCAACACATACATCCACTTTCCTGTTCTAATTGTGTCCTGTCCCACCGCCTTAGAGATGCTAACACAAAGGGAGCTCTTGCTATCACATATGTATACTGCTTGGTGTGGCGACCAGAGTGGGAGAAACGACCGAGTCTGCAGGTCTAAAACCGCATCCGTAGAGGACTCAGATTCCTGGAAAGAGTGTGTAGGGGTGGCACAAAGGGATCTTGGTAAAGTTTTCCTCAGGGTGAGCAGCTGGATTTTGAATTTTAGTTCATGAAAGAGAGGAAATAAAAGAGGCAAGAAATAAAGGGCAGGCTTATTAGGTTCAACAGCCAAACTTGACATTTCTTGGGTAGAGTCAGTAACTGCCTCTGTTTGTGCTGCTCTTCTTCCTCTTCTTGCAGAACATTTTGCTTCTCAGTCTTCCCAACTGAACAGAGCTCCCTAAAAAGCAGGGACTATATCTTTTTTCTTGCTCCCTGTCCAACCACAAGGCAGCTTGCCAGAGGCAGATGCTGTGCATGAACTCTTGGGCATTTGCTTAGCAGTGGTTAGCAGACTTGGGTGCCATTCAGGGATGAATTTCTTAACCGTGTTGCATTGTTTACCTCACAGGGACCTTAGGAGAGTCCAGTGGAGGTTAGTGACCTGAAAACTAGGAGGTGGTTCACAGCAACTAGCTTGATTTGGGGGTAACTTGACTCTGAAGCTCCCTCCCAGAGGTGTGGGTGCACAAAAACACATGGTCAAGTTCTGTCACTAAAGCAGAATTATCTCAGTAGGCTGAGGGTGAGTAAAGTCACCAGCTCCACAGACCCTTTTGGTATGCTAAGGGATCATCAGCTATATCCACTTGTCTCCTACATCTGGGATGGGGGATATTTATTCAACACATTCAACATGTATTGCTATATGCAAGGACCTACGCTCCGCTAGGGATACAAGGATTGAAGGCAGGGTACCTGCCCCAAAGGCCCAGGGAAGGGAGATGGGTGCAGTGGAGTGAGAGAGGATGACCAGAAGTGGGCACGTAAATTAGGGTGAGAGTTCAGAAGGGTAGTATTGGCTGTGGGGCAGGGTGGGGATTATCCTGACTTTTCCTGACTCTTACAGGAAAAGTGGGAATGGGCCAGATGGAGAAGGGAGAGCCAGATGTTTTTGGCAAAGGAAAGAATATGGCAAAGATTCAGAGATGTTCAAGCAGGGGCAACTCCCAGGGCGACTGAGGAGAGAATAGCTTTAGCTGACCACTCCCAAGGCCTCCATCGGTCCTGTCCAAGCCACGTCCAATCAATATGTACCCTAAGAAAAAACTCTGCACTTGTTAAAATGGATCGATTATTGCATACTGGAAGTTTGGTACAGACAGAGGACAAGGAGAGAGAAAGTTTATGCCATCCTGAGTGTCCCCATCACTGCAGGACTTGATTTCCCCAACACTTCTTCCTCTATTGCCTGAAGCTATTGGTGTAGATAGAGTTAAAGTCGAGATTACACACAAGGTTTGGGCTCTCCCTGGCCATGTTCACCCTGACAATTTGAGTTTGCTGATGTCAGGGACCATGTCTACTGTGTTCACTTCTGTTTCTCTACCACCCACTGGAGCACCTGCATGGAACAGATACACAGTCATTATTTTTTGGATGAATAAATTCATGGAGAAATGAGCAACTATGGATATGGTGAGTAAATACTGTTTTATTTATTATATGATTACAGAAAGAGTGAATGTTTTGCTCAATGCTACCCACTGAAAATAAATTTAAGTTTGAACAGCAGTTCCATCATGTCAAGAGTAATCGCCCAGTGCTGTATTAGGGATGTGATCCAATTCCCAGAGAAATAAGCATATGCATTATCAAAGCGTAATTACACCTGACATTAAGTGGCTTCCCTGTAGATTCCTTCCTGACAACAGAAAAGTAAAAATTCCATAATAACAGCAAGGGTGACTCACCTTTTCATTTCTGAGGGCTGCTCCTCCCAGCTTAAGTATGACATTTGCTTAAAAGATGAAACCAGCCCTGTTCCAAATAAATGACATCTGGGCAGCTCTTCAAGGACAAATATTTTATTAGAATATAGGCACTTGGCAAAGTAAATACGTGGTTACAAAGTGTTTTAAGTATTTACTTTACATAGTGACCAGAAAAATCAAACCACAGTGTAGATTTCTTTTCTTAAAGTTGCAGGCTGAAGAAGGCTGTGTGTTTATAGTAAAATAAGAAGGCAGATATTGCCAACTTATGTTTAAGTCAGTGACGTCCTTCCCTTCCCCATATTAACATTGCTATGAAGCACATATCCCTTAGCACTTGCTAAAATGCATTAAAATCACTTTTGTCTGGGAGAATTGTGAAACCCTTTGAAATCACTAGCTCTGATACGAATGATTACAAAACACCAGACTTGAGAATCTTTATAATAAAAGGCATAAGGTCAGAAAGCTTTTGGAAAAATTGGAATCTTATCTTTGTAGTCTCCAAAATCCTTTTTTTTTTTTGAAAAGAGAGTTTACGCTGCATAATGTAAGGCACTACTGTCTCTGTTCCAAGCTACAAAGGAAAAGTGAGCTTATTTTTTTTTTCAAGGAAAATATTCTTTCTTTGTGAAAGGTCAATAGTAACATAACTAGTTTAAAGTCATGAAGTCTTAGCCAAAAGCCATGTCTTAAGGTTTTATGCATCTCTAATGTCTTTGCCCATAGGAGAGATCCCCAGAGCAGCACACGGCGGCTTTTCGTGCTGCTCATTTAGATCACAATAACCTTGCTCCAATCTGGAAATCACTGAAGCATCACATACGACTCTGTACAAAAAGCAAGATAAACTCATTGTAATAGGAAGTCATTCCATTCAATATGTTAAAATGAATGCTGAATATTTTAAATGTACTTTAGTTTCCTGTTCCATCTTCAAAATGAAACAATCGTCTTGCTTATTCTAGAGAAGTTGTCTTTTGTGAAATATGTCCAGAAAAATCCTTGGACCGTGTTCTTGAGTGTGTCCTGCCACTTAATGCCCAGTCCTCTCTGACCCACAGGATGGGCACTGATGTTCATGCATCCAATGCAGTGAAACGCACTTTCTTTTAGGGTTGAAAAAAAATCTCTTAGCTTTCCAGAGGGTGCAAGAAGCCCTGAGGTGAACAAAGGGAGGAAGCTGGGAAACTCCAGCATGGGGTCGCCTGGGCTGGGACTGTGCCCTGGAGAGAAAGGCAGTGTTTCTAGGGCCAAGGCTGCTCCTCTGGCTCCCTGCCTTACTGGGCAGCGCAACCGGCCTGTCTGCTCCTTGAACTTTGGACTTAAGACTCAACAAGAGCAGAAAGTTCTATTAAAAACCGTCTGTCTCCCTGCCTGGCAGCAAGCCCCAAATCGTCCCAGCACAGCAGGGTGCCGGGTGTGGAGTTCCCATGTTTGCTGAGCGGCCCCCGTGCTAGGCACCAGGGATATTAAAGTCACTTGAGGAGGTAGGAACCCATTATTCAAAGCTGTGGGTTATTAGCAGGAAGTGCGCATGATGACTAAACCCTAGTTTCTGTCCTTGAAGACAGGAGCCTCTGGGAGAGACAGGAAGTAAACACAATTTCAATGCACTGTGCTAAATGCCAGGATCTGAGTGAGGTCCTGGGTGAAGCAGGGACCAAGGGAGAAGTGGCCTCTACCTTCTTCACTGACAACGGGATCCCCCATAGACATGAGGAGCTAAACACCCCAACAAAAGACACAACAATTCAATATGTGAGCATATGGACACTGATTGTTATTCATTATTTATCACCTAGAAATCCAAGAAGTTCTGCATGGAAGGGGTGGGGAGGACAATATTTTAATTCCTCATTAAATGGTTGAACTGTGGGTCAAATTCTTTAAAGCACTGATAGAAACTTACTTGATGGTGATGGTAAAAACAAACTCTTAGGATACTATGTTGGGATGTAATATTAAAATCTGGGGAAAGAAATTTCAAGATGTAGGACTTGGGACTGAAACTTTGGGGAAATAATCTGGTATTTTTCTAAAGGGGATAACACATAGAACAACTCTTTTTCATCTTTTCCAAGTAAGTCCATTTCATCTTTAACATTAATGGTTATAGGCCATGATGAATTTAGCAGATGTATTTGTGTCTATCTCCATTAGCATGTTAGTTCCAGGAGGAAAGAACAGAGTCTTTCTGGCCGTGGTATCGCCAGAGCTTGGTTCATAGCAAGGACTCGGTTAACTTGCTCAATGACCAAACAAATGATTTCTGCTTTTGGTAACTTTTTGGAACTTGATGGTATACGCCTTGGCTTTTGTCTTTATCCATTTATTTATTTATTCATTTTGTTCCCTTCTGGGAAGGAATCAGAACTGTTTGAATGGAAAGAGAGAAAGCTGTCATAGTTTGAAAATTAGCATGTTTTCTCTTCTAGATCAAATTCCCTGGGGTCTTTTAATGCATCCTAGAACAAGCACCTTATCTTTTTTTTTCATTCCTAAGCCCAATACAGTACGTGGTGTTCAGTAGCTGTTCAAACAATGTTTGTTTAATTGGTAGGCTTTAAGCTTGGCAACTTAGTTAAGTCCTTTGCTCAACCGTCTAAGGCTAAGTTGGAATGCTGTCAGGCTCACACACGCTAATGAAATTTTCTTGCCTCATCTGAATATTCTTAAAAGATGATTAATTCCTAAGAATCAACAAGATTAGTTAATAAGAAAGTGATAGCAGGATTAGCAACAAGCCAGACAATCCCCCAGCCCACACCTTCCTCCTTCCATTTCTGTTGGGTTTTTCTCTCCATCTATGGGGGCACGCTTGGCTCTGTGTGGCTGCGCGGCAGGGGTGACTGCTCATGAACTACTCTTTCTTGCAGCCTGACTGTGGACAAATGCTGAGTCCTTCAGAGACGGTGAAGTTGGTATAGTGGATGGTGCAGCTAGAGCTGCAGTATACATTTGCATTCATATACAAAATGGAAAAGCCTTAAAGTGCGTAAGAATGTTGCACCACGGAAATGTGCCGAGTGTATCGAAAACTGTGCTCTTACTGTTCTCTCAGTCTTCACTGCAGTACCACTGCCTCCCTCAGACACTCAGCTCCCTCAACCCAACCTCGCCATTGCCTTTGCAATTCCTGTTGAAACACTAAAGCAATAAAGCATGGTAGAACAGTTCCATTCCACAAAGGTTTGCCTCGGTCCTCACGCCCTGCGTGCGTTTCCTCTGCTTTTAGTATTCAAATTAAGGAAATAATTAATAAATCTTTTTTTTTTTTTTTTGGTAACCACTCACATGCAACCCCTAAGTGTGCCCATAACTATAACCCTCTGATTGGCTTTCGCCAAATTGTTCCCTTCGCTATTCCGAGGGCTGCTCTGGGGAACTCTGCTGAGCACCTTCTCTCTCCTTTCCATCATCCTCGTGGGAAACGAGGACATCGGTGTTCGGGGCATCCTCGACCACCCACTGGCACTCATGAACACGGGCAGCCTGGGTCGCCCCTGTACTCGCGCTGGCCGAGACCTGGCGGGGGCTGCTTTCCCCGCCCGTCGATTCTTGCTCCTCGGAAACCTGGCTCTCCTGGGGGCAGACGGGGCCGGAACCTAAAGGGCTGCCTCCCTGCAGCGTGGCCTCTGCCTCCACGCCACACTCGGCCTCTCCTCCCTCCCAGGCTGCGCGTGGGGGAGCCTTCCCTGCGGGCTCCTCTGTGGGGAGCCCCCCGCAGGCCTCCGCAGACGCCCCCAGCTCCCTGCCACCGGCCTCCCTCTCGCTGACTTCGCCTCCTTCACCGTCGTCCTCCAAGGAGGCAGCTGCCTGATGGGCCTCAGTGTAGATCTGGGCTTTTTCCTCTCCTTTCTCATTTTCTTGGGGAGCAAGAGTCTCCTCGTTCTCATCTTTTTCAGTTGCTAGAACAGATTGCACCGGTACTTCAACTGTCTCGGTCAACAGCTTCCTGAGCTCCTTCAGGGAGCCTGAGGCAGAGCCGGACTCTGGCTGTTCCTGGGCGGGTTCTTCATCTTCAGGGGCCCCTCCAAACTCCAGCTCTGAGGCCTGTGTGCCCGAGAGTCCTGCTGTGTCCTCGGCAGCCACAGGAGTCACAGCAGAACCATCCATTCTGGAAATGATCACCTGCCCGGCCCCACCTGGGGGAGGGCTGGGCCCAGGGAGAGAAGGGCTGTCTCCTGTGGCCGGCGCACCGGGGACCCCAGGCTTCTCCTCCTCTGCCTCCTGGAAGACTTCATTACTCAGGGTCTCGCCGCCCAGAACTCCTGGCAGGATGGCAGAGGCTCTCCTGGCAGGGCTGGCCTGGTTGGACCCTGTGGGGATTTTTAGATCCGTTAAGCTGGACACGCTTTCACTGGGCAAGGCCATGTTGTCTTCAAATAAGTTGTGTTTCTTCAGGACAGCAGCTTCCTTTATCACTGAAAGATAATGGAAAACAAAACATGGCATTAACACCCCGTCCCGGCCAACCTGGATGTTCTGGTTTTATTGAGAAGCCACAAAGTCCCCTCTCAGCCTCTCTGGCTAACCACATTTCTCGATTTCAAATACCACCCTCTTCCAGGTAGCCTTCCCTGAAGACCAAAAGACTGTAAACTCCTTCCAAACTGTGAGCCTCTGTAGTGTTCATTCATTCATTTATTAAACAGCAAATATTTGCTGGGCATCTAACATGGGACAGGCACCGGGAATCCAGAATGAATAAAACATGGCCTTTGCTTTCAAGACACTCACGGTCTACAATAGCATCATCTGTGTCACCCAAGGAGGCCCCTATCACATTTTATTAGCTGCTAATATATGTGGCGCCGGTTTGTCCACCGGACTGAAGCTCCTCTGCGGCAGGGGCCGACTTTCCACTTCTCCTTTTCGCACAGTACAGGCCTGAATGTGTAATGCACACCCGGTGATGAGCATTGTAGTGAGTAATGAGACAGCCTTGCTGACCCGAAGTGTCCCAGATGAAGGTCTGTGTGGACCAAGCTCAGTCTCAAAGGTCTCAAGGGAAGCGAAAACAATGACAACAGCAGCTGATATTTTTGACCATAGGCTTCTGCTTATGACTGTGTAGGGGTTGTAGGGCCCAATAATATCACATCCAAGGCGGTGCCGTTCATACCAAAGACCACATAGATTTGTGTTTTCAGCAGAATTTTTCAGCAGCTAGCAGTAGAGTTTTCTTCTCTAAGAAAACCTGTCTATTGTGACAATTTTCTGACACATGAAAGCGTCTGTAGGGAAGCAGTCTTTTTCTCCCATCCAAGTACTAACCAGGCCTGACCCTGCTTAGTTTCTGAGATCAGACGGGATTGGGCAGGTTCAGGGTGGTATGGCCATAGATGTGGGGGTCTTTTTCTAAGCCCAAATGTTCCCCTGGTGGGCTGGCAGTGGCCTTGACTGAGCCCTTCCTTTATGTCACTGTGCTGACACCTTCACCTTCCTTATCTCACTGGATCCCCGGTGATGAGCTACTGTGACCTGGGGGCTTGTGCTCGGTTAGTTTTCTTTGTAGAGGAGTTTTTGTGATACTCAACACCTTCCAACGGAGACCGGACATGTTTTGGGCGCACAGTTTGACGGTGGCCTTCTCCAGCATATTTTTTTTTTTTTTTGAGACAGAGTCTCCCTTTTGTTGCCCAGGCTAGAGTGCCATGGCATCAGCCTAGCTCACAGCAACCTCAAACTCCTGGGCTCAAGCGATCCTCCTGCCTCAGCCTCCCGAGTAGCTGGGACTACAGGTGCGAGCCACCATGCTCAGCTAATTTTTAATTTCTATTTTTAGTTGACTTGCTAATTTTTTCTATTTTTAGTAGAGACGGGGTCTCGCTCTTGCTCAGGCTGGTCTCGAACTCCTGACCTTGAGCGATCCACCCGCCTTGGCCTCCCAGAGTGCTAGGATTACAGACGTGAGCCACCGCGCCCGGCCCAATAGCAGAGATTTTTGATCATCTCAAGTTCTCATCAGTGGATTTGAAGCCTCCTTTTTTCTCTCATTGCCAGAGTGTTTCCTTCTTCCTTTTTTTTTTAAAAATACCAATGGTACTTTACCAAGGTATCTTATATACAGTAAAATGCACAGATTTTAAAAGTACAGCTCAACTTTAAAATACATAAATATATCCAGGTAACCATAACCCAGATCAAGACAGAGAACATTCCATCGCCCCCTAAAGCTCCTCCATTCCCCCTTCCAGGCTTCCCCAAGATATAAGCACTGGGCTGATATCTATCATGACAGATTACAATTTCTTGTTCTTGGACGTTATATAAATGAAATCATATATTCTTTTGTGTTTGTTTTTGAGATTCATCCATGTTGCTGCATTTGTCGGTAGCTTGTTCCTTTATATTGATAAACGGCATTCATTTTATGGATAAGCTAAAATCGCTTATCCATATTCCTATTGATGGAAATTGAGATTTTTCCACTTTTTGATCTTTATGAATGTAACTGCAATGGACGTTCTTGCATGTATTTTTCTGTGTATTTAAGGACCTATCTTGGGTATATATCTGAAAATGAGTTTACTGGGTCATAGAATAGATGTATGTTTATTAGAATGGGGCCCCTTTTCAGGTTGGGAGACTCTCTAGTCAAGGACTCTTCAGGAACAATATTCTCTTTCCCTCCAACCGGCCCTGACACTCATTGATTCCCTCTAACACAGCCAGGCATGATGCAAAATCCCTTACCCGCCCTACTTTCTAAGGGTTTCCAAATGGTTTGCTTATTATCAGCATGAGGATGGGGCAGGGATCAAAATGCACCAAATCATATCCCAGTGAGTAATTTAGTAATCCTTGCACCCGATGGTCCTGGGGGAGGGCTCCCCACCGGTGGCTCTTAGAGAATCAGGGACTTAGCGGTGGGATTCGATGCCTTTTGCCTGGAAGGATAGGATTTACCGAAGGTGATCAGAAGGCACCACATTCAGACACCTCTCAGTGCTAGGACTTGGGGGTGCTGTGCCAGGACTAGATCACAGCAGGCAATAATGGGGTCCCTTTATACCCACCCAAAAAGAAAGTCAAAGGACTGAAGAGACATGAGTTTCAGTGACCCCCAGGGGGTCTATAAGACAGGACTGACACACAGATATGGAAAGAGCACTGCCCAGGAGACTGGACGCTCCCTGGCCTAGCCGTGGGGCCCTGGGTAAGCCACATAACCACCCTGCCCCTCTGTCTCCTCCTCTGCGAAATGAAGGGCACAGGCTCATGCTCTTCCTCTCCTCATTCTCCTGATTGTCATTCATCCCTCAGGGCTGGATGAAAGCATGACTCTGGGAAGTCCTCTCCGGCCCCATAAGCAGAGTTTGGCACTTTCCCGGGAACTCTTCCCCATGAGGCTCCTGCTGTGCTCCTCACACGGCAGCCTGTTTGCCTGTCTCCTGCCTCTACCCTGTGAACCCCAGGACAGCAGGGACGTTGGCCTGGCGCAATGCCTAGATCATATTTGCTACATATTTAATACATGTTTTCTGGGTAAAGAAACAGAAGACCTTTAACATTTCCACCAGCTAAATAATTCTGTGGAAAGAAATAATTTCTGGGGACATTTATACTGCTGTGATGTGCCCAACTTTACAAAACAGGTCTTCGATGTTGAATTGATTGAACTGTGCCATGTAGTTAATTCCCTGGGCCAATTAAATTGGCATTCCTGAGGGTGGGTCTTGGGGAATCAGCATTTTTTTTAAAGCTCCCCAGACAATGCTAATAGATAGCTAGGGTTGAGCACCACAGATCTAGGAAGCTGCAACTTAAAGAACCAAGGGAAACACACCTTAGCAAAATAAAGGTTCCTTCTATGAAGGAGGTAATCCCCTAATTTAACTATTCTGTAAATCCAGATTTTTCAAAAGGTCTTGACACTGATATGATATCCTTCATTGCTAGAAACTCCGGGTCACGGGCTCCTTTGAAAGCAGCCTCTCTTGATTAAAGAATGCCAAGAGCCTCTTACAGACAGGATACAACTCACTCTGCTGATGCTTGGAAAGAGGGGGGCAGATAAGAAAGAGAACCCTCTGTACCCTTCTCCTCATCTGGGAGGAGATGGTTCTGAGGCCCCCAAACTGCCTTTGGGATTGAAAAAGAAAAAATCCTCGGTAGAGCATCTGTGTGCAGACACGTGTAAAGGTAGACCTGGCCCCATTTGAGCTGCTGAACTGTTCCTCTACATAAGGCCAACAGACGGTCATACAGACAGATTCCTTACTCCCCTGGCTTATTCAAATCCTTTTCTAGCAAAGAAATATGCCCCCAGAAATAAATGCCAAATACTAGATACGCTGATGAGTGTCTGAAGAAAAACAGCATTTACAGACTATAAAAGTGACCAAAGACATTTCTGCAGTAAAATAACTCATGCAAAGGATTTTAACCTTCCAGGGCTTGGAGACTCTCCAAGCTGCCAAAAAGCCCTTTATAAATTCTAAAAACCTCTTTATCATTTGTTCCAAGAGGGAGCAGGCCTTGCAAATGTCCCGGCTCATAGATCATTTTTGAAACGTAGAAGTAGTAGTGGTAATAATAATAATGATAGTAGTAGCAGGAGTTGATACTGTTTACTGAGGGTCTACCATGTTATAGGTGAGTGTGAACTGGGTTCAGACTCTGGTGGTTACCAGCTCTGTGACTTGGGGTCAGTTACTTAACCTCCTCATAGGGTAGTTTTCAGACTCTGCTTGCCCATCACTCTGCTCTACGGACCGAGGTGCACCTTCGTAATCACGGCCATCACTGGATGCCTGCTGTTTGTAGAAGCTTTAAATGGTTTCATTGATTTCATTAAACAAACATTACTGGGTTTAACAGAACAAATATCCTTCTGTAATCATCTTACAATCTTTTCAGGACGTAACGGTCAAGTTTCAGAAGACATATTGGACCTATGAGTCATACTATTATATAATGAGGAACACCCGATATCCTTAAGTGTTCTATGTCAACCCTTGGCTCGGCTCAAATTCAGATCACTACCCTTTGAGATTTTGTCTAATCCAGGGTTCGGCAAATCCGGCTAGCTTTTTGTTTGTGTAAATACAGTCTGTTTATGTATCATCGATAGCTGTTTTGCTCTATAACAGCAGAGATGAATAGCTGCAACAGAAATAGTATGGCCCATGAAGGTTAAAGTATTTTTCTAACTGACCATTTACAAAAAAAGTTTGCCAGCCACCCCTTCATCTAGTCTGTTTTGCACGTGCACCACAGCAAAAGAACTTCGAACTTCAGAGGCAATAAGAGCAGGCGCTCTTTGGAGTAACCCATCCCCTTACTGGTTTGCACGTGGATGCCAGTGCCTTCTGCACGGTGGGAAGCGTGATTTGAACCAGTGCCTCTTGAAATATCTTCTTCCGGATGGTGCTGCTATCATAATCATATTGCTGTCAATACAGAAACATATGTTAAATAGCAACATTACAATCTGTTGACTTTCACTTAAACAAAAAACTCAGCCACCCGCTTCATCTTTCTTCCTTCCCCTAATTTCTGAGAACACTTGTATTATCAAGGTCTCAGAGATCTTTCTGTGGAATTCCCTCACACTCCAGGCAAGGGTATGACTGATAACGATCCCTCTCATCTTCTCCTCTTACAAATATGGAAACTGAGGCAAGATAGAAACAGAGTAGTGACTTCTTCCGTATTACAAAGAAGTTGGGGCTAGACCTGGGTGGGGGGGTGAGTTTGTACTTCATCACCCCTGTCCCGGGTGGGTCCATAGAAATCAGGATCATCTATTGCTCTGCATCCTGAAAGCTGGGTTGGTGGGTTGTAATGATTTCCACAAGGGAAGAGAGGCCTGGCTCATGGCTCCATTAACACTGTGATGTGGTAACCAAACAAGTTCAGTATGTAGAACAAGAAAGATGATTCTCTCCGCTCTGCATTGAACATCCAACCTTGGAGACCAGGGTTTAATTTTAGATGTCACCTCAAGGCGATGACTGACAAACTGGAGTGTAGTCACAGGCAGGTGAGCAGGATGGTCAGGCCAAATGAAGAATGGTTAAAGAGATGAAGGCATTTATACGGGAGGTAAGAAGTTGGAGCAAAATTATAACTCTATTCAAACAGCCAAATGCTGCCAGGTGGAAGGAAGTTATGAACAAAGAGGGCAGAACTGGAATTTCCAGTGGTAAGAACTTTGGTCTAACATAAGGAAACATGTTTTTGCAGTCAAAAGTGTCCAGAGATGAAAAGGGCTGTCCTGGGAGGAAGAAAGCATCCTGACACTGGAGGTGTCCAAGCGCTAGTGGGAACGCCCCTGGGGGGGCACATTCTTAACACTGGATACGAAGTTGAACTAGAGGCATGCTACGTCCCTTTCGAACCTGAGGTCCTAATATTTGAACGCCTTTCTACTTGCTGCTTTCTTTCTTCTCCTTCTGTCTGCTGAAGCACTTGACACTGATACTACCGTTTCTTTCAATTCAATTGCAAGTTCATTATTATTTGTGTTACCACGATCAATATTGCTTTTAATCTCAACGATTTGGTTGCTAGAATTTCCTATCACGTCCAAAATTCAGGAACCACCCCTAGGCTCCGTGAGACTTTGACCTTCTGTTCCAAAGCACTGTTTAGGGGAAGTAGGAGGTAGTAATATATTGGTAGACTAGGTGTAAGGATAGTTTACTTTTAAGTTCACCATTCACTAGCCTGCTTAGCTTAAGTAAGTCACATCAGCTTTTATAGAGTCAGTTTCTTCATCCGTAAAATGGGGACATATTTTAATTATCTCATAAGTTCTTGTAAGAATCAAATGAAACAAAGTAAGTTAAAAAAAAGCTTTAAAATATACCACATATACGTGAGCTCTTATTATTAAAACCATTTTGGTATATGCTTATGCTGAAATACATTTAAAACAATCTCATATGGCAGTTATCTTTTCCTTGGAATATTTCCTTTGCCATAAGGTTTTGATTTTTCTTGAAAACGTTGGCCGATTTAATGGATTTTGCTATCCTGTAAACTCTTTGAAGAAAGAGGTTATGCCTGGACTATTTTTATATCCCACGCTATACCCACAATGCTTACAGTGGACAGCCAATAAATGTCAAGTTCAAAGTAAGCTGGGACACATCCCTTCTAGCTGTGGGTAATGATGCCGATGACCCCAAGTAGCCACTAGATGGCAGAAGAGGCACGAAAGTCATGTTTGAGGAAATTGCTGCCTATTAAGAGACAGTCACTGGTACTTTGGAGGAGAGGAGGAAAGATTAAGTGAAGGAGAGAACATGGTATTTTCCTCTTAACAAAAGAAACAGGGATCACATTCTTGTTCTGTGCTTCCCACGAAGGAGAGACCAGGTTTACCTTTAAGACTCGGAGCTTAACCTTCTCAATGGCAACCGCGGTTTTGGAAGCCTCGCCTTGGAGATGCGGGGAAAGCAACTGCTCAAAAGTGAACACTGCGTTCTCCATCAGCTAGAAACCAAAAGCAGCACAGAAACAGACCACAGTCAGAGGCTGGGATCGCTGTCCTCAGGTATGTCTAACCCGGCTTGGAGGGCAGGGCGGGTATGAGCCATCTGAGAAGAGTCCCCTCGGGCCCTCCTCTGGGGTGACCCAGGGCAATGTCGTCCCACGACCTGAATTGTGAAAAAAACAGCTACTGACCACAGTGGGGTCAGTAAGAGGTTGGGAAACACACACGCATGTATATATGTGTGCATGCATACGTGTATGTTTTTCTCATCCCCTCTCCCTCATCTCTGAACCGGGAAACCCACGATCGTGGGACTGAGGAGTCCATCATCTCCTGGGGTCATTTTGCTTCCTCCGTTCCTTACTAGTTGCCAGCAATGCTATCTTGTTCATGCGTTAACGAGATGAGGCGGGAGCATTCTCCCCTCGTGGGTAGACGTGAGCCACCCTGCAGCACCTTCCCCATTTCATCCTGCCGCTCACAGCTCTTCCTGTCTCTGCAAGTCTGGGAAGGGAGGCAGGGTGAGGGCTCGGGGGAGACAGTGGCTGACACACTTGTGGGTCAGAAGACGGAAGTGGTTCTGACATCTTATTCTCTGCACTTTCGCCTGTATCCGCTTCACCAGGGTCCAGTATTACCAAAGGGACTTCTGTTCAACTGTTGCCCAATTTTGTTTGTTCCTTGTTCCTCTTTAATCCTTCACAACTCAAGGGTTAGATAAAATGTATCGCTTAAACCCACCCACAACTTTTAAGGGAAAAAATGCTCCTTTCTTCCCCAAGCCTGTGATCCTAAAGCATCCAATGCATACCCTTATCACAGCACTTCACCACGGCGGTGAATTTCTCTAAGAATGTGTCTCACTCAAGCTCCCCGAAACGGGATCCCGCACGGTGTGACATGGAATTACGTCCTTAGAGCTTCAATGATTACACTCCTTCTTCACTTGGGAAACCCTACATACGATATAGAAGGCGTCTGTGCTGTTCATTCCTGTTCCTGGGGAAACAGTTCTTTGTGGGGAAAAAAAGAGAAAACTACCAAGCAGACTCAAGAAATTCAAATATGAAGCTGTGATTGATTGATTGGTTTACTCTTAAGTATGTTGGGGAATTAATTTAAGCCAGGTGTTCTCCATCCTGGACGAAAATTGGAAGCAGTAGGAATGGGGTTGGGGAAGTTCTTTTGAACGTACCAAAATATATATACTATGTATAATCGGCCTCATTGGGGATGGGGCCTAGATAGACATCGGTGTTTCTTACAAGCTCCCCAGATGATTCTAAGGGGTAGCCAAGGTTCCTGATCTCACAAACGAAGCAACTATCAATTAATGCTACTTTGTTTCCCTGTGATATTCATCAACATGGAAGGAAGATGAAGCCAGCTGCAGAGACAGAATATGTCCTCTCTCAACATCATGGCTAAAGAAGTGCGACTTATTTCCCTGGGCTACGCTAGCACTCCAGTCTCATCTGCCAGCACTTATGTCTCTGCTCTCTCTCCACCCTCATCCCCCAGGGATGCCCCTGCCGCTCCCACCTCTTGCATGTAGTTCTGTGTCCTCTGTACCACCAGGTCAACGTGGGGGAATCGGAAGCGGCTCTTGAGATCCTGCAGGCGCTCCTGAAGCAGGTCGACTTTAACATAACAAGGTTCCATCTTCACAGAATCCAGCGGAAGATTCATAAGCCGGCCTAGATCCTGCATTTGAGTGGAGGGAAAAAGTAAACACCTCCAGACTCAGGAGTGATATTTCACATATGTTGTGTGCATTCTAAACAATCCAAAGTATGTCAGTAAAGTGAATCACTGCTTGGATCATTACATATGTGACATCTTCAATTGTCTTATTTCTCTCCCGATGGGTCTCTGGGCAGCTTTGTCCCTAGGACAAAGACCAGCAAAGGAACCAACTGGACGATCAGCAGGCCCAGGGGTGCACTCAGTGCGGCTCCAGCTCTCGTGGACTCTAAGCTCTCACTTCCAGACTCAAGAACCGGGCAGGCAGGCTCTTGGCACATGGTTGCTGCTGGGCCCACAAGCCTCTGAAGCCTTCTTTAATGAGTGACATCCCTCTCAGGAAACCCCTGGGAAGTGGGGGTGTTCCCTGCACTCCTGGACTCTAGGAGGGAAGCCGAAGTTTCTCACAATTCTGTGAGGCTCTGCTAAGGCCCGCAGGGATTCCTGATTCCCTCTGCTGTAGGTTGCTCCATGGTGCTAGTGGATGAGGAGTAGGATAGCAAGAGGCCTGACCTGGGAGGGGTATCCAGTTTTAAAAACTGGGGTCCCTCCTACTCTGGTTTGCACAAGTGATAACTTAATCTATGAGGGCATTGGGCTTCCCTCGTCAGATCACGTCTGCTCAAGCCCTCAAGTGTTATCGACATACTCTTACACGATGAATGTTTTGCAACAGAATGCCTTCTATTGTCCAAGCTGCTTTTAAAATAATGTTTTAAAGTGAATACTGGAAGTTTAAAGAAACAGGAGAATGGGTGGTGAGGAAGAAGACAGAAAGAAAGGTGCTGGAAACGGAGGCTCTAGGGAGAAAGGTGGCGTAAGAAAGGGTGAGTGTGAATAATATAGGATGCCCTGTCTGACTTTCAGCTCACGGAACAGAGATAAAACTAGATTTCTCTAAACAGGAATATTAAAATTCATGTTTTAAAACAGGACCCATTCTCATCGTGCTTTAAAGGGAAAATATCACTCCCTTTAAGAAGTGAGTTATGGAGAAGTCCACTAAAGTGGAATTTGTGATCGAAAGCACACTGCCAAACTTGCCCCTCCTCACACAATACGAAATGTGTCTATTTTTTAAAAAAAATATCAGTTAAGCAGACAGGAGAGGAAAAATGGGTTACCACTTTGCTCCTATCAGGTTGGCAAAAGTCTAAACAAGTGATGACACGTCTGGCTGAGGGGAATATGGAGGAGAAAGTCCCTGCCATACACAAATAGTAGAAATGTACAATCTAAATCTTTCTTTGAAATGCAATGGAAACATTTGCTAACATAAGAAATATGCCTTCCGACCTAGCAATCCTGTCCTAGGAATGTATCCCATAAAATAAAAGCATCAGGGTATCAGAATATATATATACAAGGTTATTTATTGCAGCTTTGTTCCTGGTGCCAGCAATATCGGGGATGACTGAATAAATCGTGGTGTATCCATACATGAAATATTATGCAGCCATTACAAAGAGTGATTTAGAGCTGGAACGGTTGCCTTGGAAACAGTTTCATGAGGTATTTTTAAATGAGAAAACTGATAAGCAGAGCAGAGCATAAAATATAATCCTGTTTTTCTTAAAGCAAACAATCTAAAAAAATAGCCAATAAATGTGTGTGTTTTATATGCTATGTAAGCACAGGGAAC